CCGCGGTCACCTTATTTTACAATAGTCCTGTTGTAAAGACTACTACAGACTGTATCACTGATTCCCTTAGATTGCTGCAAATGTGGATAGAATCCAAGATTTCCTTTTAACGTAGACTATTGTAATCAGTCACGTAGACTTTGTGCTAACTCATATTTAGTTCGTATTTATTTCAAATAAATTTTTAATGAGTACGTTCGACTTACACTGAGAAAACTGGAGTATTGGACTAAACATCTGGAGGGACAAATCGTTCATATTTGAGAGTTAGCTATTGGATAACAATCTAAATGTTCAAATTCACCATTGACAGATATTCGTGCCATTTCTCTAACAGAGGGACAAATTAACCATCTTGAGAAATCCCTTCCTTATCTGGCGCGAAATGAATAAATATGGCAACCTAACCCCTAAATTAAATACATAAAATGTCAGAAAAATAATTTCGCGCGCATCAGATCGTGCACATTTTCTGCGCAACTTTTAACCCTCAGACATAATGGGAGAGAATATACAATTAGATTTCCATTACCAATTTAAAATTTATTTTAGAAGGACTATTTAACTCTCTTCATAAGCAAAGGAAACATACACTTTTTGAACCTCTGAATTTGACTCTCCAGTTTTCTCAGTGTACAGAATTGTTACAACGAAGCTACTTTAGGCATTACGAAAAGTGGTCACATATCCGAGCAGTATACTGTTCGACTATTGTAATCATTAACAGAAAATTTTTCTCCGTGTAGTGCTACTCAATTCAATGGCAAAACAGTTTTCAAAACTTGAAGCATCTTTTTCGAAATTAAAAAACTATTTAGCGTTCGAGACATCATTAATCTTAACACACTTGGAATATTTTAACTGCTGCGCGCTGAGTTCGAAGAGTAACGATTTTTTTTCGCTTTTTTATTTATAGAATTCGTCTTTCCTCAATCGATAAAGCAAAAACGGTTAATCGTATAAATTTATGGTGAGCATTTAAAAATTGATACGGATGGAAATTAAGTTTCGTGGGTTTAAATAAATTTGAAATCAATACATGAATTTAGGATCATAATAGAACATTTCTGTAAATGATAACTGTGAGAATGATCAAGTTGCAGAATTGATAACCAGCAGATTTTCTAACCACATTTTTTTATTGTAAACGATAACTGACATAAAGAATGATAAAGACAAAATTTAATGCAAAAAATCATAAATGATTACTATCATGAATGATAACATACCATAAATGATAATTTCCATAAGTGATCAATATCATAAATGATAACTTCTACCCAAGTAGAAATGTCTGGAGTTAGGACGGAGTTAAACACCGACATGGTACTGACTCAGTACTGACCGTCGGTACTGACTTTCGGAACCCGATCAGTACTGGGAGTATACTGACTCTAAAACTGAATCAGTACTATGTCGGAGTTAGAAAAGTTCTAAAATCAGTACTGGCAGAAAACTGGCTTAACACTAAATCAGTACTGCGAAGGAGTTAAAAAAACAATCAAAATTTGTTATAATGTAATTAAACATTAAACATCGTTTGATTTATTAACAATTAAAATATTTGCAAAGATTTGTAAAAACATTATTCATCAACAATAATATCAAACATTTTATTAATTTATTATTAACTAATAGATATATTTTAATAATATAATAATGAATTATTATTAATTAATTATTTTTAGAATTATTACGTATTATTAATAATAAAAAAAATGTTATTTTTTAAAGCTGTATATATATTTTTATTTATTTATTTAATAAAAATTTTTCTTAAATAAATTTTTTTTTATTATTATTTTAATAAATAATTAGATTATAAATAATAAATAAATAATTATATTAATAATTTTTACCATATTATTATGATGTATCTATTAATTACTACATAATGACTTGATAAAATGTATATAAAGATATATGTATAATAATTTTTCTTGAAATAAATATAATATGCAGTGGATTTATTATTAAAGCACTGTATATATCGGTCCCACAATTCAAAAGGAAGTTTATGCGAGATAACTCCCGAGCTTGCGTGGCTATGCGGTATGTGTATTCGACTTGCGTCCTCGAGGTCTAGGGTTCGGTCCCCCGTGCGTGCGATATTTTTCCGTCTTAGTTTTAAGTGTTTTGTGTATAATTCTTAACAGTGTTACATAAAGTATAAGTTTAAATAATTAATAACCAGTAATAATAATAATTTAGTCATTAATTTAAATAAATAAGAATTAAATAAATAATGAAAAAATAAGAAAAATATTTTTTTAAAACTTATTTTAATAAAAGGAATTCTAATAATTAATTAATAATAATTAATACTAATAATAATTATTAGTATTCAATAAATTACTCCCCATGCTTTAATAATTAAATAAGGAGCTTATACTGACCGCCGGTAAAAATCAGTACTGGACAGCGTTACCAGCCAGGGTTTTCCCAGTACTGCAATACTGGCAGTCAGTACAAGATCAGTACTATGCCAGTATTACATTTCTACTTGGGTATAAGTGATAACTATCATAAATGATAAATTCCATAAGCACGAATATTTTGTATATTTTTACATATAAAATACAAATAGAATTTCTAATTATTTGTTTAAATTATTATTTCAACTTTTACAGTAGTACTGTAGATTAATTTTCGTCTTTTACGAACCAAATATTTGCTTCAATTATTCGTATATACTCGTAAATTCATATATCAGTGTGATTTAATTAACGATTGTCAGAGGGAAAAATAAAAAATCAGAAATATAATCGCGTTATTCGGAGAGAAGAGTGAAGAAATTTTAATGTATCACATCAACTAAAAGTAGAACTTCACTAATGAAAATTGAAATACGACACACTCTTCGATATTGTGCGAAAATTTCAATTAAATATCAAAAACCATATTACTATTCTTCTTAAAGCATAAAATAGATTTAAATGACATTTTGTTAGATATTTGATTTTGTGAAGATTGCCTGATGTCTTAAAATGGAAATATATAAATAGAATTATAATATTATTGATTATGAAATTCTTCCACTATTTATATGTAAATTTATTTCTGTATGCATTTTTATTATATGAGGAACTGTTTCAAAGAACTCGCTCGACGCGCGAGAAAAAGGGATAATGCCAGTCAGGTAGCAGTGAGGGCCTCTGGGTCGTCCACTGCTATACCTGACTGGTATTATCCCTTTTTCGCACGCGTCGAGCGAGTTCTTCGATACAGCTCCTCATATACAGTAGAATCCGTTTATAACGACTCCGCTTATAACGACCGACCGCTTATAACGACCTATTCGAACCTTTTAGTTTGGTTTACATTGAAATTACTATGGAGACGCGTCTGCTTATAACGACGAGCGACGTCCGGTTATATCGACCTTCCGTATATAGCGACGTCTTTTTCAGATTTATTTGGTCCGAGGTCCGGTTATAACGACTAATTACCGATTTCCTATGTCCATAGCTCCATCTATTTGACAATCTTTTCAATAAAGCATATATATTATTTTATTATATTGTTAATATTATTATAGTATTAATATTGTTAAATTATTAATATTATTATATTATTGTATTATTTAAAAAAAATATATATATGTATTTTTCTTCTTGACGCTTATAACGACGTCCGGTTATAACGACGGAAATCCTCGGTCCCTTGAATGTCGTTATAACCGGACTCTACTGTATATTAAATTTTATTAATATTATACGTTTTATTTTTTTATACTATAAATTTATTTTTCGTGAATATTATTTGTTAATAATTCTGGAAAAATTAAAATTTATTTCTTTATATATTATATATTCTATTGATATTCTACATTTTATTTATTTATATATGAATTTATAATGTGCCTATACATGTATCGTCAATTAAAAATTAACAGATGGTGTACATGTAAAGATTAAACATAGTCACATTCCCTTGGGATTTTTGTTTTTCTTTTTTTCTTCCATTTTTTTTATTGGTGATCCGTTGGTTATGTTTATTGAATTAATTTATTTAATTGATTGCACACATTATTCTGCGTATGTGTGGCATGTGCGGCAATTGGAGATGAAAGCTGATTCTGTGGGAGCGACGTGCGGTTTTGTTGAAAGAAGAGAAGGCTATTCGTGGTCGAGAGATTATTTTCGTCTAATTTAATCGAATTAAAATTTACAAATTCGTATCCGTTCTACTGAAAATTCTTTTCTTCTATTTCTATATATATATATATATATATATATATATATATATATTTAGACAGATGATTTGTTTTATTTTTAAATGCAGCGAAAAGTTTTATGTAAACCAAAGAACTAATAAATATATACATATATAAAATATAAAAAATACGTACAATTTATAAAATATGTAAAATAATATAAATACAAACTAAGTCATGCCTTTGACCAGAGCTGAATACCTTGATAATTCGGTAATTAATAGACGTAGACAAGCGAATCAATTTAGAAGTGACTTAAATTATTTTGGCATACCATTAAGCTCATTTAGATATAAGAGAATTGCGCAATTTAATAAATTTCAACGAAAATAACAATGCAGCCACATAAACTTATGTTCTATTCTTTTATACAAGTACTTTGTACGAATGGGTTTTCAACCCGTATACTATTTAAATAAATAAATAATAAAAATTGTACACTCGAACCCCGATTTAGTATAGACTTATAGGATCCACTAAATCGGGGTAGACAATTATTTACTAGAAGACATTTATTTATTTTAAAACCAAATTAAAAAGTAATCGTCGCTAATTGGCCTGACAGTCGATGCTACGTTTTAAATTAAAGAAGAATTTATTAGAAGGCAATTAATTAATATTATAGTAAATAGTAAAATTTTACCACTTTATAACATATATTTTAATTTATAATTAAATAAAATAATAAAATATATTCTTTTATAAATTTTATTTATTAATAAATGAATAAAAAGAGAATAATTTTTGTAACAGGTATTTTTATAATGGGCTTTTTGATTTTCAGGAGACAGCAACTCGAGCAATCAGTTTACTGCGATTCGGAGTCACGCAAATCGCCTGGGGATGATCGCCACGATGCTCGAGGGGGAAATTCGGACAAAGTCAAGGTATGATAATTATCTCACTTATCTCTCATATAACGACATGCACTTGATCCCGAAGACACGAACCTTTCACGACTTCAAAATTGACAGTGCAACTACGTAATCTTCGGTGATGCCCGGGACAGAAATTAATGCTCGCGTATATATGCGCTTATATGTGCGTATATGCACATATAGGCACATGTAAGCACATACAAGCGCATATATAAGCATTCGTGTTTATGACCTTAATTATGTCATATATGATACGGCACCAACTAAACAACATTTTTTGCTGACGCACATCTTGAATAATGGCAAATGTTTTTTTTGTGCTCTTTCTTCGAACACCTGTTCATAGAAATATTCAGTCTTTTTAATATGTATTAAGGTTCTTAGAGCGTGGTCTATTTAGTGTATAACACGTTTTCGTCGTAAACCAGTTTTGTTATCAGTCAATGATACCGAAATCGTTTCCAGGTCTTTTTTCGAATGCGCGGTGTTAATTTTAATCTGGAGTTGATAAATCTTTTTTGTAATATCTTTTTGGTGCGGAGGGAATAATAATCGGAGTCAATATATACAATATTGACAATTGATGGGAAATTTAATTTATCACTACGATAGTCAATAACTATGTATGATAACATATTTATCAATATGATAACTTGCATAGTTGATTTCTACTATAGTTGACAATAACCACAATTAATATTTATTTAGTTTGATAACTGCCAATATTGATAACTATCGTAGATGATAACTAGCACGGTTGATAACCATCATAGTTTATAATAATGATACACTGAAAAAAATATATTTATGATATACAGCCATAAATATGGCCAATACTCACATATTATATTGGTGTATATGGGACAGCCATGCAAGATTGCTGTTTCAGCTATACTCAGTGTAGAACATCAGCCATATGTATGTGAGAGACAGTAATATGTATGTGAAGAACACCAATACTGTATATAAAGAACAGAAATACAGTATTGCTGTTTCAGCTATACGTCCTTACTATACTCGTATGACAAAAACGACAATATCATTTTTTTCAGTGTAGTTAATAACTATCGAAGTTAACTATTGTAATTGTCAACTACAAATGTTGATAACTATTATAGTTTATAACTATCGTGGTTATAAACCACGGCATAGTTGATAACTATCAAATAGTTATTACTAAAGTTTCCTGTTGATAACTTTGATAGTTGATAACTATCATAGATCACAACTACCTTACTGCTGCTTACTATCATAATTGATAAGAACCATAATTAACTTCCTCAGTTGATAACTATTATAAGTTTTAATCGTCTTGACTATGAAATCAAATCATAATTTATAAATTTTAAAACCAGAAAGTACAAACTATCATAAATTGTAACTATTATTGTTGATAGTTGTTGATCGTCTGATTATAACGAATGTTAATTAAGGCAGAAATTTTTTCTTTTTAGATAATTACATAGATGAGTAATAAAAGTATGATTAAAATAAATTCGCGTAATTAAGAATAGAATAACGTACATGAATAAATATTTTTGATATTTTAATTGTATTTTTCAAGTTCAGCAGTTAATTCTTGTGTTGACATGATTGCAGGGAGCGACGCAAGATTTATTTGAATTGCTCGAGAGGGTGCAGAGCTCGAGGCTTGACGATCAACGCTGTGTACTTCCTCCATACTTTACTCAGGTAAGAAATAAAATATAATATTTTTATCTATACCTGTTCTCTTTTTGTCCATATTTATTTGAAATTGGTTTTAATTAGAAATTTTAATTTTTTTATTATATGCAGACTTTTGTGGTAAAGTGTTTTTTTACCACAATAAATAAATAAATAATAATAATAATTCCGATTTAAATATATAAATCAATAAAAGACAGCTTTTAAATAAACAAAGAATTTATTCCTCGAAGCTGGAATCAGGATACACGAATCGCCAACAATTAAATATGATATTCTGAGATGCCGAATTCTCAAACAGATAAAGTGCATCTTTACACTTTGGACCCAAAACGGCAACTGCCCAAGCCATCCCTTGGAAAACCGCGCTTTCCTTGGGAGTCGCCAAATTCCTATCCCTTGCTGTCCTTGTCTAGCATAAACCATATGGTTATCATATGGTCCTCGTACCGCCTAAATCTCTGAGTCTCTCATTGTTCCCGTGAAGTTAGACCCAAAGTTGTTGTCAAGCAAGTTTGAGACATTTCACAAAAATTTCCTCTCCGACACTTTGTTTATCAAACTGGTTTTATCCTTTTTTTCTATTATTGCTTGCTAGCAATATTTCCTACTGGCAAGCTTTCTATGCGGGTGGAACATTTCAAGTTTGCAGTAATCTTGTTGCAAGATCACCTGCTTATTTGGGTAAAGTAAGTTTAAAAACTTTTTAAAACCATTGAAAGGTTAAAAAAATTGAAAAAAGGTTAATATCGTTGAAGAGTTTTGAAAAAGGGAAAGAAAATAAAATAGAGAGGAAGATTAAAGAAAAGAGAGAGAATAAGAAAGAGGTAAAATAAAGAGAGAAAATAAAAATTCAACAACGAGACTTTAAATGAAAAGGAAAGGCAAAAAAAGACGATTAAAGATTACGTAATATAATCATATGTAATGAAAAAAATCTACACACATATACAATAAACACACTACACCGCGTATATATCAATTGAAATGCTCGCCTACTCATTTCCGGCATTTATACGCTTCGGTGAGTTTGGACACAACGTTTGTTTCGTGAGATTCCACTTTAAGAAAAGTCAAGTGGAAGGTGCACGCAAATAATGCAAAAGACCTCGAAAGACTATACACAGTAGTAGTAGTAGCAGCAGGGGGATGTGTAACGAATTTTGAATATTTTAGAAACTTTTCTTTCTTTGAAACTGGGAGTATATATATATATATATATATATATATATATATATATATCCAATATGAGCGGAGAGGACTGTGTCTTGGAAAACTTGTAAATTATAAATATTCTCCCATTTCGTCAAAGGGGAAGAGGAGGGGGTTTTCATTCCCTCATTAAATCTTTATCACGTTTGTATATTATTTATTCCTATATATTAGTGGACAAGATTCATTAATTATTTAACGTGTCGAGAAACTTTTCTTTTCTTTTTTAAATTATCTCATGATCATCACTCTGCTAAAACGAATATAATAGAAAATTTATTGTTCCTTTGAAATAATTTATATAACTCCTATAGTTCAAGGAGAAATGAATTATAATTGCGAAGACAAATTTACACTTGAAATCTGTTGATGATAATTCACATTGTTCAAAGCTGTTATTAATATAATTATTATTATCATTATTATTATTATTATTATTATTATTTTTTTTTTTGCTTAGGGAATTTTGGAAAATCTGCCTACAGATACCTTGGATTCCGCACTCCAAGGTTATGAAGGGTTGGTACAATAAAACAAAAGAAATATAAAGAAAAATAAAATAATAAATTTAATAAACTGGCCACCTACTTCCAGCCCGACCCACTAAAACCCGTAACCCTTCTTTTGGAGCCCTTTACCCTCGTAAATCGCTGATGCGACCTTCTTCTTTTTCTGCGGTTCTCCTGCGTCCATAGTTAAAAAAAATTAAAAACTATTTCATAGTCTAAGCGAAATTTACAGCACAACAATATTAAAAAACGAATTTTTAAAAAGTGTAAAAAGTCAAAAGTTAAAATTGTAAACGGGTATAAAAAAGAAACAAAAAAAAGTAAACACGTATATAGTGTTGAAAAGATAAAACTGTATAAGGACAAATAAATCACACAACAATTAAAAATTAAAAATATATAAGGACGCGGTCCACGAACGTTTGGCATGAGTCGTGCCAAGATTATTATTATTATTATTATTATTATTTTATTATTATTATTATTATTATTAGTTTTACTATACTTCTAAATTATATTTTACTCCACTTTTGGAGTAAATTTTACTATAATTTTTAGGTAAATTTTACTATGATTCTAGGGTACCGTAAAACTATAATTCGATTAGCATACTTTTTGGGCAGAAATATATAAGATTTACAATTATTTCGGTTAATATAAACGTTAAACTGTAGTTTAAAATTTATTTGTAGCAGATTCATTAGTAACTTTCAATAAAAATTTCTACGCTGCATCCTACTGTGCATTACATTTCCTGTATCTCCAACATGATTTTCATAAAGCAGAAAACTAAAAGCAATAAAATTCAAATTTGTAGTGTAAATTCGCTCAGGAAATAAGTCTACAAAAAAGATGTTTGGGCCTGGACACTTTTATTATTGTTAATTATTTTCATTTTTAATTTCGATTTTTTTAAATAATATAGTACCTTTCTAATAGTAACAGTTATACTTGACCTTATTTTTTATGGTTATGAGTGCGTTTAGTTGAATCTAATTACTTATTTTTCTTTATTGATTCTAAATAATACTTAATTAGTTTGATTTTTGTAAATCATAATATATTTTGCCAGTATAATAATGGTGAGCGAATTTATCCTCATTTAAGGGTAAAGTCGCTCAGAACACAACGGCTTATAAATATCAACTTTATCAAAATTTGAAACTACCCAATGGGAAATTTACAACTGGCGTAGTACTGCGCCAGCACTGGCAGCACTGGCGGCAAGGCTGAGAGCCAGCACTGGCATGGCACTGGGATGATAACGCCGTCCGGCGCTGCCGAAGTACTGTCTGTCAGTGCTGCCAGACAGCGCTGGCGCAGCACTGGACCAGTGCTGGCTGAGAATATTGCCGCAATAAATGCCGTATTGTTATTAATTAGTCGTAAATTCATAATTATAAATAATTTAACAACAAAATGGTAAATAATATTAATAAATAGTTATTATTCATAAAATATTTCTCTTCTTAAAGAAATTGTATTAAAGATGGAGACTAACAATGGATATAGTAAATTAAGTAGAAAAAAATTGTTTATAACATTTAAAAATTAAATAATAAACAATTACAGTAAGTGTGCATTAGATTTTCATATTTTAGTACCTAACGATTGGAATCTAGAAATATCGCAAACCTATGAAAATAAACAAAATTGATGACGAGGGGAATCGAACCTACGACCTACGGACTAACAGACTAACGCTCTAACCACTATGCTAACGACACATGTGTACAGTAAAGTATTAATATCTCAGTATCATTCAAACATACAATTATTGAGTCAAAGATGAGAAAAAAATAGGGATACGTTAGAAATAATAAATTGAAGTAAAATAAGTTAAACTAAATTTTTAATAATTAAATTATTTTATTTATTGCATTTAACATTTTACGTAATTCTTAAATTACGTGGTAATTTTTTAATAATTTTTTATTCATAGTAAGAAGTATAATAGTATTTTAATAGGAACCAAATTATTATTGAGATTAAAGTTTAAATTTTGTTTAAATAATTTATTATTTACAAAGTTAGACAATTGTGTTAAATTGTTATTATTAAATTTAATAAGAATAAAAAATGAACAACTGAAAAGTAAAATATTAATTTTTTTCAATAAATTTATATTTATAAACATTTATAAACTTTTTTTATAATTTTTTTCAAGTTTATGTCAAAAAAGCAATGTTGGCAAAGAGCGTTGTGAACAATTTTTCTATACTCAGCCAGCACTTGCCGCCGTGGCTTGTCCAAGCTCTGGCGAAACAAAAATTCTGTACTGCGCCAGCACTAATTGTCGAGGCTCGTCTAGACTACGCCGAACAATCGTCTGAGTACTAAGCCAGTGGTGAACATCGGCACTACACTGGCATTTCCCATTGGGTATTATAGAATTAAACAGAATTCTAACAACGGAGTTTGAAATATTTGGTTATAATACTTCTTAAAGGGCGTATCAGAATTTGACATTTCGAGTTTTAATACAAACATTTTGAATATTGTGAAAATTATACTAAATTATATCTTTTCAAATATATCATATTTCCTTATTTTACTTCTAAGCATTCTTAAAAGTATAGTAACGAAAATCCTTACTATATACCAAAATGTCCTATACACTTGTCACTAAATATATATGTATACTAAAAAGTGACCCTAAAATATTAAATATTGAAACAAAGTTTCTTTCAGTGTATCCTGATTTACGGTATATATTTTAATATTTTAATAATACCCCTGGAAAATTAGGATAATTTACCCCTCAAGTATAGTGAAATATACCCCAATAGTGTAGTCAAATATACCCCAGAAGTAGGGTAAATTTTACCCTATGGAATAGTAAAAATTGTCAGACAATTTAAATTTTATTTTGTAAATAGTAAAAGTTACTTTATCTTTTTCTCTCATAAAAAAAGTTTTTAAGTGCATCATTAAAAATGCCAAGTCACGAATTATCTTGTAAAAGCAAAAAAAAGTGTCACACTTAAAGAAGAATCAATCGAGGAATCAATTTAAGGGACAAATTTTCCTAGTCGGTTTTAGTATACTTAATTATCTATATATACAACGCGCAGCAGATTAATAGATTCTAGGGCACAGAAAGAAAAGATTTAATGATTGGAGTATTTTTTTACTTTCTTTTTTTTCTGTTGTTCTCTTCCTTTCAACTGGAATTTGAATCAGATCAATTGGTATATAGTCGGAAATTTGCTACAAACAAATGAACGAGATCAGCGGACGCAGAGATTCAAGACCTTGTTGAGCACACATTTAATTGTGTCAATT